CTCACATCACCGTTCCCTCTCACATCACCGTTCCCTCTCACATCACCGTTCCCTCTCACATCACCGTTCCCTCTCACATCACCGTTCCCTCTCACATCACCGTTCCCCTCACATCACCGTTCCCTCTCACATCACCGTCCCTCTCACATCACCGTTCCCTCTCACATCACCGTTCCCTCTCACATCACCGTTCCCTCTCACATTCACCGTTCCCTCTCACATCACCGTTCCCTCTCACATCACCGTTCCCTCTTCACATCACCGTTCCCTCTCAATCACCGTCCCTCTCACATCACCGTTCCCTCTCACATCACCGTTTCCCTCTCACATCACCGTTCCCTCTCACATCACCGTTCCCTTCTCACATCACCGTTCCCTCTCACATCACCGTTCCCTCTCAATCACCGTTCCCTCTCACATCACCGTTCCCCTTCTCTCACATCCACCGTTCCCTCTCACATCACCGTTCCCTTCTCACATCACCGTTCCCTCTCACATCACCGTTCCCTCTCACCATCACCGTTCCCTCTCACTCACCTCCCTCTCACATCACCGTTCCCTCTCACATCACCGTTCCCTCTCACATCACCGTTCCCTCTCACATCACCGTTCCCTCTCACATCACCGTTCCCTCTCACATCCACCGTTCCCTCTCACATCACCGTTCCCTCTCACATCACCGTTCCCTTCACATCACCGTTCCCTCTCACATCACCGTTCCCTCTCACATCACCGTTCCCTCTCACATCACCGTTCCCTCTCACATCACCGTTCCCTCTCACATCACCGTTCCCTCTCACATCACCGTTCCCTTCTCACATCACCGTTTCCCTCTCACATCACCGTTCCCTCTCACATCACCGTTCCCTCTCACATCACCGTTCCCTCTCACATCACCGTTCCCTCTCACATCACCGTTCCCTCTCACATCACCGTTCCCTCTCACATCACCGTTCCCTCTCACATCACCGTTCCCTCTCACATCACCGTTCCCTCTCACATCACCGTTCCCTCTCACATCACCGTTCCCTCTCACATCACCGTTCTTCACATCACCCTCTCACATCACCGTTCCCTCTCACATCACCGTTCCCTCTCACATCACCGTTCCCTCTCACATCACCGTTCCCTCTCCACATCACCGTTCCCTCTCACATCACCGTTCCCTCTCACATCACCGTTCCCTCTCACATCACCGTTTTCCTCTCTCACATCACCGTTCCCTCTCACATCACCGTTCCCTCTCACATCACCGTTCCCTCTCACATCACCGTTTCCCTCTCACATCACCGTTCCCTCTCACATCACCGTCCCTCTCACATCACCGTTCCCTCTCACATCACCGTTCCCTCTCACATCACCGTTCCCTCTCACATCACCGTTCCCTCTCACATCACCGTTCCCTCTTCACATCACCGTTCCCTCTCACATCACCGTTTCCCTTTCTCACATCACCGTTCCCTCTCACATCACCGTTCCCTCTCACATCACCGTTCCCTCTCACATCACCGTTCCCTCTCACCATCACCGTTCCCTCTCACATCACCGTTCCTCTCACATCACCGTTCCCCTCTCACATCACCGTTCCCTCTCACATCACCGTTCCCTCTCACATCACCGTTCCCTCTCACATCACCGTTCCCTCTCACATCACCGTTCCCTCTCACATCACCGTTCCCTCTCACATCACCGTTCCCTCTCACATCACCGTTCCCTCTCACATCACCGTTCCCTCTCCACATCACCGTTCCCTCTCACATCACCGTTCCCTCTCACATCACCGTTCCCTCTCACATCACCGTTCCCTCTCACATCACCGTTCCCTCTCACATCACCGTTCCCTCTCACATCACCGTTCCCTCTCACACTCCACCGTCCCTCTCACATCACCGTTCCCTCTCACATCACCGTTCCCTCTCACATCACCGTTCCCTCTCACATCACCGTTCCCTCTCACATCACCGTTCCCTCTCACATCACCGTTCCCTCTCACATCACCGTTCCCTCTCACATCACCGTTCCCTCTCACATCACCGTTCCCTCTCACATCACCGTTCCCTCTCACATCACTTCCCTCTCACATCACCGTTCCTCTCACATCACCGTTCCCTCTCACATCACCGTTCCCTCTCACATCACCGTTCCCTTCTCACATCACCGTTCCCTCTCACATCACCGTTCCCTCTCCACATCACCGTTCCCTCTCACATCACCGTTCCCTCTCACATCCACCGTTCCCTCTCACATCACCGTTCCCTCTCACATCACCGTTCCCTCTCACATCACCGTTCCCTCTCACATCACCGTTCCCTCTCACATCACCGTTCCCTCTCACATCACCGTTCCCTCTCACATCACCGTTCCCTCTCACATCACCGTTCCCTCTCACATCACCGTTCCCTCTCACATCACCGTTCCCTCTCACATCACCGTTCCCTCTCACATCACCGTTCCCTCTCACATCCCCCCCCCCACCGTTCCCTCTCACATCACCGTTCCCTCTCACATCACCGTTCCCTCTCACATCACCGTTCCCTCTCACATTCACCGTTCCCTCTCACATCACCGTTCCCTCTCACATCACCTTCCCTCCACCACCGTTCCCTCTCACATCACCGTTCCCTCTCACATCACCGTTCCCTCTCACATCACCGTTCCCTCTCACATCACCGTTCCCTCTCACATCACCGTTCCCTCTCACATCACCGTTCCCTCTCACATCACCGTTCCCTCTCACATCACCGTTCCCTCTCACATCACCGTTCCCTCTCACATCACCGTTCCCTCTCACATCACCGTTCCCTCTCACATCACCGTTCCCTCTCACATCACCGTTCCCTCTCACATCACCGTTCCCTCTCACATCACCGTTCCCTCTCACATCACCGTTCCCTCTCACATCACCGTTCCCTCTCACATCACCGTTCCCTCTCACATCACCGTTCCCTCTCACATCACCGTTCCCTCTCACATCACCGTTCCCTCTCACATCACCGTTCCCTCTCACATCACCGTTTCCCCTCTCACATCACCGTTCCCTCTCACATCACCGTTCCCTCTCACATCACCGTTCCCTCTCACATCACCGTTCCCTCTCACATCACCGTTCCCTCTCACATCACCGTTCCCTCTCACATCACCGTTCCCTCCCTCCCTCACATCACCGTTCCCTCTCACATCACCGTTCCCTCTCACATCACCGTTCCCTCTCACATCACCGTTCCCTCCCACCTTCCCTCTCACATCACCGTTCCCTCTCACATCACCGTTCCCTCTCACATCACCGTTCCCTCTCACATCACCGTTCCCTCTCACATCCCCCCCCACCCGTTCCCTCTCACATCACCGTTCCCTCTCACATCACCGTCCCTTCCCTCTCACATCACCGTTCCCTCTCACATCACCGTTCCCTCTCACATCACCGTTCCCTCTCACATCACCGTTCCCTCTCACATCACCGTTCCCTCTCACATCACCGTTCCCTCTCACATCACCGTTCCCTCTCACATCACCGTTCCCTCTCACATCACCGTTCCCACATACTCACATCACCGTTCCCTCTCACATCACCGTTTCCCTCTCACATCACCGTTCCCTCTCACCCGTTCCCTCTCACATCACCGTTCCCTCTCACATCACCGTTCCCTCTCACATCACACACATCACCGTTCCCTCTCACATCACCGTTCCCTCTCACCATTCACCGTTCCCTCTCACATCACCGTTCCCTCTCACATCACCGTTCCCTCTCACATCACCGTTCCCTCTCACATCACCGTTCCCTCTCACATCACCGTTCCCTCTCACATCACCGTTCCCTCTCACATCACCGTTCCCTCTCACATCACCGTTCCCTCTCACATCACCGTTCCCTCTCACATCACCGTTCCCTCTCACATCACCGTTCCCTCTCACATCACCGTTCCCTCTCACATCACCGTTCCCTCTCACATCACCGTTCCCCTCACATCACCGTTCCCTCTCACATCACCGTTCCCTCTCACATCACCGTTCCCTCTCACATCACCGTTCCCTCTCACATCACCGTTCCCTCTCACATCACCGTTCCCTCTCACATCACCGTTCCCTCTCACATCACCGTTCCCTCTCACATCACCGTTCCCTCTCACATCACCGTTCCCTCTCACATCACCGTTCCCTCTCACATCACCGTTCCCTCTCACATCACCGTTCCCTCTCACATCACCGTTCCCTCTCACATCACCGTTCCCTCTCACATCACCGTTCCCTCTCACATCACCGTTCCCTCTCACATCACCGTTCCCTCTCACATCACCGTTCCCTCTCACATCACCGTTCCCTCTCACATCACCGTTCCCTCTCACATCACCGTTCCCTCTCACATCACCGTTCCCTCTCACATCACCGTTCCCTCTCACATCACCGTTCCCTCTCACATCACCGTTCCCTCTCACATCACCGTTCCCTCTCACATCACCGTTCCCTCTCACATCACCGTTCCCTCTCACATCACCGTTCCCTCTCACATCACCGTTCCCTCTCACATCACCGTTCCCTCTCACATCACCGTTCCCTCTCACATCACCGTTTCCCTCTCACATCACCGTTCCCTCTCACATCACCGTTCCCTCTCACATCACCGTTCCCTCTCACATCACCGTTCCCTCTCACATCACCGTTCCCTCTCACATCACCGTTCCCCTCTCACATCACCGTTCCCTCTCACATCACCGTTCCCTCTCACATCACCGTTCCCTCTCACATCACCGTTCCCTCTCACATCACCGTTCCCTCTCACATCACCGTTCCCTCTCACATCACCGTTCCCTCTCACATCACCGTTCCCTCTCACATCACCGTTCCCTCTCACATCACCGTTCCCTCTCACATCACCGTTCCCTCTCACATCACCGTTCCCTCTCACATCACCATTCCCTCTCACATCACCGTTCCCTCTCACATCACCGTTCCCTCTCACATCACCATTCCCTCTCTCTCACTCCCACCACTCCCCTCACCACTGGCGCATGGCGGCTCTCCCCTTCTCCATCTCCGCCTCTCCCCCTTCCGCCACCACTCTCACTGCCCTTCCCCCCCTGCTGCTGCGCGCCGCCCCTCCATGCAGCGACAGGCGCCTGGGGAGGGGGTAGAGGGTTGAAGGGGTGGGCGGTGGGGAGAGGAGAACGGGGCAGCACGCACGCGAGAGGGGAGACGGAGAATGGGGGGGGGGAGGGAGAGTGGGGATTGAAAGAGCGAGTGACGGAGACGGGTAAAGAGTAGGGGATTAAAGGACGGAGGGTGCAAGAGAGGGTGCGACGGAGGAAGGGGAGTCAAGCGCCGAGAGAACTTAGGCGAGGTCGGAGGAATTAGGGAAGGAGGGAGCACGGAGGTGGTGTGTGCGGATGCCGGTTGGAGTGCCTCTCCGTCACAGCGTCGCTCTCTTTCTCTCTCCCCATCAACACACGCACGTGCCATCGTCGCCACTGCCATCGCCGCCACTGCCATCGCCGCCGCGCCTTTGATCGCAGCCAATCTGCCACCTGTCTCAGGCTGCACTTTCCACTTCGTACGCGATATAAGCGTTAAAAGTGCGTCGCGCGTCGAGCGGCTGTAGCATTAGGTTCGCGAATCGGCGGCATTGTGATAGGTTCCGCGTGCGGCGGACGATCGCGAGCGGGGCGCGTCACCGACCGCGACGAGCTGCACGGCCCGCGCGGTGGGGCGCGCCAGCGTCGCGCAGCTGCCGCCCAGCGGGCTTACCCGGACCCGCGCCATCCATGGCTCGTGCAGCTAGCGCGGCGCATCTCGGAGCCACTAACGCCAACAATGCCGTACCTGGGGGCGGCTAGCAGCGCGCGGCCGGCATGTGTGGTGCGCAGCGACGTGCGCGACGATGGTGCGGCGAGCGACGCACGCGGGGCGGGCGACGAAAGGAGCAGCGCGTCCATCGCGCGAGTAGCGGGCTTCGTGCCGATTGCTGATTGCTTGGGCGGTGGAGCAATGAAGCACGATGAGGAACAGACAGTGGACACACAAGAGAAATGAAGTGAGGTGGCGGCCAAGCATGGGGGATGACCACAAACCTGGTTTTGCCTATGTTTTGGACGTTCTGGATAAACCACTTATAACGAGGCCCAGATATAAACCCCAAGTTCATTTGTTCTAAATTTTAGAATGTTATGGCCCATTTCTAAATTACGTGATGGTTTGCAAACGCTGTTGTTGGGCTGAGAAAAGCCCTAGGATCTTTTCAGAGACTAAGTCCCACTTGTATGAAGTGCTTGAGTAGTGCAGCGGAAGTGTTGAGTAGTTGAACCCTTGCACTAGTATATGAGAGCAAGTGATTGATTAGAAGGAACAAGCATCCAGCAATATATAGAAAATAAGAAATGAAGCAGTTGTAGAATACAATTGAAGAAACAGTTATCGAGTCGCACAGCGACTCGATTGTCTGTTCAGTTACCATCCTTGCAGTCGCAACGGTCAATCGCAACCTCCAGTTGCGATCCTTCGAGCCCCTTCGCCCTTTCGTATTCTTTCGTTTGTTGGAAATATCTCGAAGAACTTAAGCGTTTCTGAAGTGTAACACTACACTCGAGGAAGACTACAGGGGAGCACGCGAGTCAACGGAGGTTACACGAGGGGCGGACAAAGAATGCGAAAAGACCCGAAAGGTCGCAACTGGAGGTTGCGACTGACCGTTACAGCATCACGGATGGTAACCGAAGCGGCAATCGAGTCGCTATGCGACTCGATAAACCGTTCCTGTAACTGTACTCTGCAACTGCTTTCTTATCTTCTATATATTGCTGTATGCTTGTTTCTTTAATCAATCACTTGTTCTCACATACTAGTACAAGGGTTCAACTGCCTCAACTTCCGCTGCACTACTCCAAGTCTCAAGTCTTTACAGCTGGGACTTAGTCTCTGGAAAGATCCCAAGGGCTTTTCTCAGCCCAACATGGTATGAGAGCTGGTCAGAGACCAAACTCCCAGCAACTACGTTCTATCACCAACCTGCAACTCAACTCAACTCAACGACTTCATTGATTGCAAGACATGGACAGCAAGGGGAAGAAAGTCTCTACGGGCTCACCCAGCGGCCAAGAAACTCAACACGGCAACTCTGGTCTGCACACCTCAGGACTGCAGACAGAGACCGGGACTGCTCAAGAAACAACGGGAAGAGTACCAGAGATGGTTACTCCATCTCCCTCTTCAAGCGTGGACCCCAACCTTATGGAAAGGTTCTTCAGCTTCATGTCGCACTTCGACCAGCAGCAGCAGACAAGGACACCTGCGCATTCAACACAGAGCAATGGAGGAAATATGGGATTAGCGCCGATGAGCCTCGACAACTCATCCTTCGGGCGACACAACCAAGCGCCTACCTTTGCGCCTTATCATTCTTCGCCGGGGACGTTCGAATTCATGCCGCCCCGTGCCCAGCCAACAGCAGCTGCATCACAACAAACACCGAATGAAATCTTAAGTTTACAGGCGCAGTTCTCACACGTGATCAAACTTCAGACATCCTCACCGTTCAACGGACACGACTTCTTTACCTGGAGCTTCGAGTTCGAGCTGCTGATGGAGGCCGCGCATCTTCTGGGATACTTCAACGGGTCCCTGCCATTCCCAAGCAACGGCACTGGGAAGGAACAAGAGATCTTCACGTATCAGTCGCTGCTGGCGTACACGGTACTCCTGAGAAACCTGTCACCACAAGAGCAGCAGAGCATCAGAACGTATCGGAGTTATGGAAACTCCGCGGAGCTCGCATGGCACCACCTCAAGTGCCTTTACCAAGCAAACGACAGCGTGACACAAAGCAGACTCATGCAACAGCTGACAACAATACAGATGAAGACCGGGGAAAAGGCGATGCAGTATATGAGTCGCTGCCAGACCCTCCGCGACCGCCTGCTTCGGTGCGGAGGAACAATCACTGAAGAAAGCTTCGTGACACTTGTCCTCGCCGGGCTCGGGCCAGAATGGAGAACCACAAGATCACTTCTTCGAGCCCACGGAAGAATTTCGGAGATGCACCTCTGCGCCGAGCTTCACGCTGAACAACAGGAGATGGATCTGTTCGAGGAAAGACAACCAAGGAAGCAACAGCAGTTAGTCTTCTACACTCAAAGAAGAAATGACAACAACTACAACCGACGCAGCAAGCAAGATCAACGCGACAACCGAGGACTCACCATCGTACCGCCGTTCTGCCAAAACTGCCAGACTTCCGGGCACTCCAAAGTCAACTGCAACCGCCCTCGCGTTTACCGTGCAGCAGACCCACAAGTCGCTTCCACTCAAGCAAGTCCTCCAAGGCGCTCTTCAACATCTGCACAACAAACACCCAACATCATCAACTGCATGGTACACATCGACAACTGCGCACCCGGTTCACCACCCACTTACGCACCAGACGAAGAGGAATTCCCGCCGCCGCGCTCGCAAGGACTTCAGGTCAACCCGACATACGCTGCAGTCGCCAACGCCGAACCCACCGGGCGAAACACCTGGTTCTTGGACAGCTGCTGCGGTCAACACATGTGCTCCTCGGGACGCTTCGTGCAACAGGAGAAACGACTCAACCGCGACGTCGTCATCACAGTCGCCAACAACGAAAATCTGAAGACAAACAGACAAGGCGTGGTTCAGTTACAATCCATGGAAACAAACGTAATACTGCAGCTCAACAAAGTGCTCATTGTCGACAACCTGGGATACAATCTACTAAGCGTAAGCCAACTAATGGCCAAAGGAATTCACCTGGAGTGCGACTCTTACTCCAACGAGTTCCGGCTTTACCACGGGAAGGGTGGCCTCTTCATCGGTCGTGCCCTCCTGAAGTCCGGTGTCTTCGTGTTGGACTTCGTCCCCGACCGCGGAACTGCCGACAGCGATGGCATCGTATCGTTCGCCGCCTGGACTCACCCGCCGGATCTTGATCCCGACTTCGACAGTGACGGCTTCTGGCACTCCAACACCATACCTGCAGCAGAGAGAACACGAGCATTAGCAGTTATCAGACAAGAAAGACAAGTACCCGCAAGTGTCCCAACAAAACCATCACCTGCAGTATCGACAGCAGGACCCAGCCGAGTACCACCACCATCAACACGAGGACCGCCAACGGAAGCAGACCAACTTATGCCCGCCACACGCGAAGCTTGTCGAAGTCCCGCCTCGGTCGTCGCGTTCTTCTCCAACACCGACATCTACCACCGCTCGCCCGGTCACCGTGCTCCCGACGACATCTGGCACCAACGACTCGGACACCCTGCAAATAGCACAATACTTCAAACGATCCAAGCAGAGGTGTTAGAACGCAACGCCCTTCTGACGACGAGCGGTCAAGAACTTCGACGACCACGCGCACGGTGCTTCACATGCCCCGAAGCAGATCTTCCTCATCAACCTTTTCCATCCCATCACAACCCAAGCGCACCTACTTACGCTCCGATGGAAAAGGTCTACAGCGATATTTTAAACATGCCTCGAGACGACGCCGAAGCCGACTTTAACTACGTCATCACTTTCATCGACGCCGCAACCAGATATGTCTGGCACTTCAATCTCAAAACGCGCGACCAAGCCTTCGAAGCCTTCACAACATGGCTCCCCATCGCCGAACGAGAATCAGGACTCAAACTCAAGAGCTTCCAGTCAGACGGTGCACTGGAATACCAGTCACAACGCTTCAGGACCTATCTGGCGGAAAGGGGAATCAGACGCCTGGTGTCCCTGCCCTATGCTCACCAACAGCAGGGGGTAGCAGAACGCATGAATCGGACCTTGCAGACGACGATGCGAAAACTGCTTCAGGGGATGCGACTGCCAACCACACTGTGGCCAGACGCGATGACACATGCTGTTCACCTGCACAACCTGCTGTCCTCGTCATCACTTCCCAACAACGCATCACCGCACCTGTTGTGGACAAGAAAAAGGGGCAGCACAAAATTACTCAGAGTCTTTGGCTGCATGGTACAGTACAGACCCCACACAGCCCGAGCAGGACGCTTCACACAACGAGCTCGGTGGGGACTCCACCTCGGCATCGCGAAACATTTTCACGTGTGGAAAATTCTCGACATACAAGACAAAAACACGGTGGCATCACGAGACGTTATCTTCTACGAACGACTGACTCTGCAGCATTACCTGGACAACCTTGCCAACACACAAGACCCCACCGACGGCCTCTCAGGACTTCGTTCCTTCGCCGATCGTGCTGCCGAAGCTGACGCAGCCGAAGAAGACGTACCTGGAGCCTCGGAAGCTGCCGGGCCACTCCCATTCTGTTCCGTACCTGTTCCACTCGATGAAGATAATCCCCTCGATAGCAACAACCTCGACACCTTTTACCACTTCGCCGACCAAGGTTACGCTACACCTCACCCCGTCGACACGAATATTTCGGAACGCATCGGCCCCAATTTCTTACCTGACCCCGAAGACGGTGACGAAGCAGCTTATTCCGGGAATGACAATTCCCCTCGACACACACCCACGGGACTCCAGATTCTAGGCCTCTGGGTCTCCGTCCAGCATCCGCCGCCGCCTTCTACGCGTGAGCCTTCAACCTTGTCGCAGGCTCTGGGGGGGGAACACAAGGCAAAATGGAAGGAAGCGATGGAAAAGGAGTTAAAAGCTCTGCAAGACCGAGAAACATGGAAACTGGTACCTGCAACGAGCATCAACGGGAAGAACGTTCTCTCGGGGAAATGGGTGTACCGCATCAAAACCAACTCAGACGGCTCCATCGAACGATTCAAAGCTCGATGGGTCGTACGAGGCTTCGATCAACGATACGGAACCGACTACACAGAAACCTTCGCTCCAGTCTCCCGTCACACCTCATTACGCATCCTACTCGCCGTCGCGGCCACGAAAACACTACCACTACGCCAAATCGATATCGCGAATGCGTTCCTATACGCACCTGTGGACGCTGAGATCTTCGTCGAACAACCCCACGGATTCATCGACGACCCCACGAAAATATGCGGACTGACAAAATCCCTATACGGGATCAAGCAA